CGGTCACGAACGGTTTAGAGTGAATCAACGTTCATACTTTATATGATCAAAGTAGTGTAGCCTACAAGGTTGTGAGGACTGATCACCCCACACCCTAAACCTATATAGCCTCTATCTAGACATTGCCTGCCGTCAGATCCTCTGGTCACTGACGCAACATCTCACATCTCGCCATATATTCCACACTACTTTTACACTACACTACTAAATGGTTTATGTTCTTCTTCTGTTGGTCTACGCTTACCAAATCAGCTGTAGACATAAACCAATATCATAAGACATGTAACATTTCTCAATCACTCTAAAAAACAACCCCTCATACACCCGAGTCATCGAACGTGACTCAGCACTGCACCTGAGCCCTCAAACACGACTCACTACTACACTTGGACCACAAACATATTACAATATATATTGTGATCGGCCTAGGGGCCCTAGGTACCGTCTAGACTGGCCTAGGGACACTAGGAACCGTAGTACCGAACTTTGGAGTAGAAATTTATAACACGTGGAAATCATCAAATTCTGTGAACCCTAATATTTACACTGACACATTATCATTATATATATCTGGGCCCAGAACTCTATTGTATTCTTTCACCAACTCATATTAATACTACTATTAAAATGTATGAATTGTCTCTAAACTAGCATTGATTTCCGATCTCACAATAGTAGTCTCGAAGTTGGTTAGCTGGTTATATATATATGTGTGTGTATGTGTGCATGTTGACGTAGATCCGTATGTATATGTAAATGTATATCACAGACTGACCCTAAAATGTACTCGCACAAAGCGCCGATATGTACCACCCATAGCAGTCTTTGTCAAAGCTGAATCCCATTCTTTGCATCTTGAACTCAAGTGAACACTTATCTCAGCCTGTACTTCCGTAATACGTACCAGTCCTGCCACACCATGCAGTACCAAATGCGGTGTATTGCACTCAATCTCTGCCGTTGACGACCAATGGAAAGGTTGATAGACGTTGCTTAGCAACCAGCCTTCCAGAACTTGTGCGCAATCATGATAGGCAAGAACGAAAGCGTCGCAAATTGAATTGCAAACCCAAAGTTGCCACTCGCCTACTGTTGCTCCAACAAATTACAAACACACTGGAGTACACCGGCTCTGGAAGCGGTGTGTACTGGATGGTTTGTGTAAGTGTGTGTGTACGTTTATTTAACTGTATACTGTATGGTTTGTGTAGGTGTGCATGTACGTTTACGTTGATTTTACTTTGACCGTTGGCGTACGATGCACAAAACAAAGGTCCCATCAGCCTCGTTAATGCTCGGTGTATCTGCTGTCCTCAACACCGCATAATGGGATTATCTAGCAGTCTGACTTATGGCAATCGGGCAATTCGATTATCTGACAGTCAGACTTATAGCAATCGGACAATTCGATTACCTGACAGTCAGACTTATAGCAATCGGAGAATTCGATTGTCTGACAATGTGACCTATGGCAATCGGACAATTTGATTATCTGACAGTCAGACTTATCGCAATCGGACAATTCGATTGTCTGACAGTCAGACTTGTAGCAATCGGACAATTCGACTATCTGACAGTCAGACTTATAGCAATCGGGCAATTCGATTATCTGACAGTCAGACTTATAGTAATCGGGCAATTCAATTATCTGACAGTCAGGTTTATAGCAATCAGACAATTCAACTATCTGACAGTCAGACTTATAGCAATCGGGCAATTCGATTATCTGACAGTCAGACTTATAGCAATCGGG